TTCTTCCTCGGCCCTATCAACGTCCTTTGTCCGAACAGCTGCGGCTTGCTCTTCAACAAATTTTTCCACCCTAGGTGCTCGGAAGGCAATATCCGCTGGTAGTATGGCTTCTGAGCCATAGACCAAGAAGTATGGAGACACACCGGTGCTGCGACTAGCTTGAGTACGCAGTCCCCAGACTACAGCTGGTAGCTCCTTGAGCCATCTGCCCGGGTGCTTTTCTTCTTTCTGATATAGTCTCTTTTTGAGGGCATCAAGGATCATGCTGTTCGCCCGTTCGACCTGGCCGTTGGCTCTAGGATGAGCAACGGAGACGTATTTGACAGAGATGCAATGGTCTTCGCAGAAGTCCCAAAAGTGATGGCCAGTAAATGTAGTTCCGAGGTCGGTGATGATGCTGTTCGGGAGACCGAATTTGTGGATGATGTCTTCGAAGAGCTCGACTGCTTTCTTTATAGTAGCCGAGATGAGCGGTTTATACTCAATCCACTTGGAGAACTTGTCAATGGCGACATACACATACCGAAAACCACCTGGCGCTGGCTTGAAAGGCCCAATCATATCCAGTCCCTAGCATGCGAAGGGCTAGGAAGCTGGGATGGTTTTGCAGCTCTTGTGCCGGCACGTGTATTTGCTTGGCGAAAAATTGGCATCCTTCACAACGTCGGATGAGGTCTTCTGCATTGGAGATGGCTGTGGGCCAGTAGAAACCAGCTTGGAAAGCCTTGCTGACCAGTGTTCTCGAGGCCGTGTGGTTGCCGCAGGAACTAGAGTGAATTTCGAGAAGTAGCTTCACTCCCTCTTCTTGGGTGATGCATTTCTGCGGTATCCCTTCCTTGGTACTTTTCCTCATCAAATTGTCGTCTACCAGCACGTAATGCTTGCTTCAACGAATTAGGCATCCGGTTTCAGTCTTGTTGGCGGGTACTTCGGCGCTGGTGAGGTACTTGATGAATTGTTCCCTCCAATCGGTGGCCGGCGAAGGTACCACCAGTACCAGCTGCTCGGTGGGGGGAACTTCCTTATCTTCTTTAATGGATGACGCTAGGAGATCTTGAATGAAGACCCTCGGCGGGATCGCGGCGCGAGAAGAGCCCAACTTGGATAAATGGTCGGCGAGCTGATTCTGGTCACGTACCACGTGGTGGTACTCGATGCCGTAGAATTTTTCTTCAAGCTTCCTGATTTCGGCGCAATATGCATCCATCTTCTCGCTGGAGCAAGACCAGTCTTTGTTAAGCTGGTTGATGACCAGCGCGGAGTCCCCGTATACCATGAGGCATTTGACATCGAGCTCAATGGCTATACGAAGTCCGTGGAGACATGCTTCATATTTGGCGGCGTTGTTGGAGGCCGGAAAGTGTATCCGGAGAACGTATCGGAGCTTCTCTTTGGTCGGCGTAATGAACAGAATGCCCGCACCAGCACTGTTGATGTTAAGGGCGCCGTCGAAGTACATCACCCAGTGCTTGGGGCAGGTGGCGGCGATGGGCTCTTGGATCTCGGTCCACTCAGTGACAAAATCAGCAAGCGCCTGAGACTTGATCATAGGCCTACTTCTGAATTCAATGGAGTAAGTGTCGAGCTCGACAACCCACTTGATGATACGGCCGTTAGCCTCTTTGTTATGGAGGATGTCCCCCAGAGGGGACTCGGTGACCACGGCATTTAGACAAGTTCGGCCGTCAGTATGACGTAATACCTACATCCTGTGTTCTGATGTATTGCATTGAGATATCGAGTAGGGGACCCCTGCCTCTCCTTATATACTCTGGAGGGGTTACAAGGAAAGTATCCTATTTGGTACTATACAATAGCTTGCGGTGCACGCCGAGCAGCGCCGTGCACGCCTTGATCTTGTGGGCTGGGCCACCTCTGATGGTGCGGCCTATGTCTTGTCTTATGGATACCGAGGGCCATACCCCCACAGCTACTCCCTGAGCCTGACAGTAGGTGACATAGTCATGTGGTGCCAGGGTCAGAAAGTAAAAGACCAGCCGAGCAGGCAGTCAGTCCCCGGCGTAGCCTTGAGATGAGAAAAGCGCACATTCACCGCAAGGTGAAGTGTGCCCACTTAGTCCCCGGGCCTGATGGATGATGAAGAATGAATCTTGTAGCAGGGTCAAAGAAAAAGAAGTCTGAAAGCTTTGTCGACGTCAACCGACATGCGCGTATCAAGACCCCAGACGTGCTGCCCAAGATCAACACCCTGATCCGAACAGCATGGAGCAACTTGATAGCACACCGATGAGACGTAGCAAGATCCAACCACCAAGGGCGATGTCCGAGCGCTAAGGAGTCCCCGGCGTAGCTGGCGACGTCCGAGCACTGAGGAGTCCCCGGCGTAGGCGGCGATGTCCAAGCACTGAGGAGTTCCCGGCACAGCTGGTGATGTCCGAGCAGCGAGGAGTTCCTGGCGCAGCTGGCGATGTCTGAGCAGCGAGGAGTCCCCGGCGTAGCTGGCGATGTCCGAGCACCGAGGAGTTCTCGGTGCAACTGGCGACGTCCGAGCAGCGAGGAGCGAGGAGTCCCCAGCGTCGCTGGCGATGTCCGAGCACCGAGGAGCGAGGAGTCCCCGGCAATGTCCGGGCACCGAGGAGCGAGGAGTCCCCGGCATCGCTGGCAACGTCCGTGCGGTGAAGTGTGCCCACTTAGTTCTCGAGCATGAAGAATCCGAGTGCCGAGGAGTAACCGGCATAGCTGGCGATGAAGCACAAGCGACGAATAGTCTGTCTCAACTGGTCGGCAGCGAAGTGAGCATTGAGTAGAAGCGACCGGCAAACAGTCCGATCAACTAGTCGACGACGAAGTCCATGAACCAAGCGGTCCGACCAGTTGATCGGTGGAGAAGTCCGAGCACCAGGTGGTCCGACCACCTAGACGATGATCCTGCAATACAAACATGTAGAACGGGTAGTACAAGATGTAAAGATATATAAACTCCGGAGAAAAAATAGCGTATGTAGCTCGGGGATCAGTTGGAGCGAAGATGTATTTATATTTAATATAAACCGCCCGACCAGTTAGTGTGTAGCTGAGTCTCTAGCCCTAGCTATAGCCCATAGTCCATAACGTCGAGCGCGGAGCCCGTGCACGTGTAGGAGGAACAGGCGTCGCTAAGGAGCCACTGTCGAACACCCATAACACAGAGGGCAGACGCTCGTGCACATGTAGGGAGGAGCCGGAGACAGGGCCGTCTCTGGAGGCGTCCGAGCATCAACATGACTGTTCAGGGGTTCAGAAAATCATTTGGAGAGAAAACATGGAGAAAACAACTCGGAGAAACATCATGGCGATATACGGAGATTGGAGAACATTTAGAAGAATATTAAAGCATGACTTAGCTTTAGACAGAAAGTCTGGTTGGCGACGTATGGTATTATCTGGTCGGTGTTGACGACGAGCACCTAGCGGGCGGTGAGTTGTTGGTGAAGGCGACCTCGGAGGTGGTTCTGAGTTCAAATCTGCTGTCGCGGAGGCTAGTGTAGCCAGCGATGAATCGTCGTCGTGGACCGGCATGGATCTCCACGAGATTGATGACGAGAACGCGCTGTTGATTTGAGGTCCATCTGGCTCACCATGGATCAAGCGCACACCCCTACCTGGCGCGCCAACTGTCGACAGAATATCATCGGCAGTCTTCCGAGGGGTATCCCACGAAGGTAGATTGATCGACAGAGGACCGTGAGATCAAGAATAAGAAGGCAACAGAGACACACGAGTTAGATAGGTTCAGGCCGTCAGTATGACATAATACCCTACTCCTGTGGTCTGTTGGTTTGTATTAGCTATCGTATGATATTGCGTGAGTTTGGAGAGGTCCCTGCCCGCCTTATATAGTCCGGGAAGCATGGTTACAAGTCGGTTAGATCTGAGAGATAACCGAAAAGTAATAACTGATTACAGAAATCTTGGGATCATACATATCCTAACAGATCTCGTAGTACCTTCAGGATATCTTCCAGATGTCTTGCGGAAGGCGCTGACCAGAGTCGTGCCCCGCAAGGCTTCGTCTTGTGGGCTGGGCCGCCCCTGAGGGCACAGCCCATGTGGTCTGCCGTGGGTATCCGGGGCCATACCCCCACAGTAAGGTTTTTTCTACATTTTAGTAATTAATGAGTATAAAAACAGTTGAAAATGGTTGTGAAACCAATTAAAAATGACAATTTTTTTTATGTTTGGCTAAATTTGGAAACAGTATCATAATATAGAAAATAAAAACAGTCGGTACAGGATCTATCGTGTTCACCTTCATCTTTAACACGAGGAATCAGATAGGTAGCACACGGGACACAAATTTATATCGGTTTAGGCAAGGAGTGCCTACGTCCAATGGACAATAGATCGCTTATGTCGTATGCTCACTGTTTACGGGAGCGCTGATGACTATTTGCCTAGGGTTGGTATGACCAATGATAAGCACCGATCACGGGCTCTCCAGCCCGCATTATATAGTCCGCAAGGTGATGTTACAGATAGAGTCCTGATCAGTTCAGATAAAAGATTTTCTAGTTCGTTATAAAGAAATCTATAGTGATTCGCTTACCTATGGTACATCTTGATCTCCAAACTCCCTTCGATCGGTTGCTTGTCCCACTTCCGTAATGAGCAATTTAGTCTAATTTCATTCTGATTCATCTGCAATTATGTTTCTAGTATTATAATTTGAAAAGGGAAGTGAGTAGTTCATTAAAAAAAAAAAGAAACAGAAGTGTGCGCCAAGGGCCCAAATGGTAACGTGCAGATCCCTTCACTTCGTAGCTTGTCCCACTGAACTACCCAGCAAACCCACAAGCTTGCCCGGTACCTACAGGGCCCAGCTGTACGTCACAGTATCGACCCGCAAGGTCCACTCCCACAGTCCCACGTGAGCAAGCAGGAGCAAGTCGCAAGTCGCCCGCATCACCAGTTCCACCAACCGGAATACTCTAACTCGACTCCACCTCCCCGCCGTCCCCCACGAACCCACCGGAAGGACCCAGGGCGCCGCCGTCGGCACCATGCCCCGGCGCCTCCTCCTCCTCCTCCTCCTCGCCCTCTCGCTCGTAGCGTCCGCGAGCGCCGTGCCCGCTGTCATCCGCATGGTGCCGGACGACCCCACCGCGGCCTCCTCTGGCGCGGTAGACGACGCGGACTCGCTCTTCTGCGACAGCTGGAGGCTGTCTGTGGAGACGGCCAACGCGGGGCCCTGGCTCGCCGTGCCCGCGCGCTGCGGGGATTTCGTGCGGGACTACATGGAGGGGCCTCGCTACGCGTCTGACTCCGCCGTCGCCGCCGCCGACGCCCTAGCCTTCGCCTCTGATTCCCTGGCCGCCGCCGCCGAGTGGGGCGGCTCGGCGAGCGCGAGGCCGGCGTGGGTATTCGACGTCGACGAGACGCTGCTCTCCAACGCGCCGTACTACGCGGTGAACGGATGGGGGTAAGGTGACTTCCTGCCTTTTCGAATCAGTTGTGGCAAAAACTGAACTCAATTCGATTATAAGCATTGCTCTGGGTTGTGATGACACTCCACCACTGTGGTTTGGCATTGGTTTGCCAACCAATGTGCCAATGCTGAGGTGTTTTCTGTCAACTGCCATGTGTACAATGTTAACATCGCACAAGTGGGATTGTTTGTCTGTAAACACATTGCTGCTTTAGAAAACATATTTCCACTGTTCCAGTGCTTGTGCTCTGAAATTAATTATGTTTGGCGGGCATTACTTTAGTTTATCCGTTCTCATTATTTTGTGATAACTATTTGAGAAAAAATAACTGCAGTGTGGGTTTCAGAACTTTCAAGTAGATTATGCTTTGGTAGGATTCTGGGACTATAGATTTACTAAGAAAGGAAGTAGAAGCAGCTAACTGTATCATGTATATAAAGCTGTTCTGGGTCCAAATTAGTCGGCATCCTCTGTCTACCTTACGGGCTTATGGTAAGCTTGTGTCTTTGTCGAATTTTTGCTTGTAACATGGGGGATAACGCGCAATGTTTATTCAGCAAAAGAAAAGAAAGGTGCTAGATCTTTTGTCTCCGGGACATCTCTGGTATTGTTGAACTTTTTTTAGTTGAGGTAAACCAGAAATTTTTTAGGTTGCTCTTAAAAAAGGAATGCATAAACTGGCTCTATTTGACTGCATAATCATATGTCCAGTTTTGTTGTAGAGTATTGCTATTGTTTTGGCATTTCCCCTGATTTTTTCTAGATCACTGGAATTCAATGAGACCTCATTTGATGAATGGGCAGATGCTGCAAAGGCACCAACATTACCACCAAGCTTGAATCTGTACAATCAACTTCAGGGACTTGGTTTCCATATTATCCTCTTGACTGGCCGGATTGAATTCCAACGTAATGCCACAGAATCGAATCTTTTGTCTGCTGGCTACAACTCATGGGAAAAACTCATACTGAGGTATTTCCTACAATTCTGGATATGAAAGTGATATATTGTCGATGTTTATTGAATTATATCCAAAAAAAAAACAAGGAAGAAGTCCATTTTTGACCCTTGAAGTATTGCCTGAATTCGATTTTGGCCATCAAACTCCAAAATCAGACAACTTCATTGAACTATCAATATCTTGCACTTTAGGCCTAAGATCTCATTCTACACCATTTTGCACCACATCACCATGGTTTTGCGTTTGCCCATATCTAGAGATGAAAGTTTTACTTTTCTATGGGCAATTGGTTCGACCCAAAACACATCAAAATGAATTAGTCTAGATTTCAAAGCAAGAAAAGGGAAAGGAAATACCCATTGGGTACCCACATGTATCCCTACGGCATATCACCAGCCATGTCGAGTCCATGACAGTGTCTTCTTCCCCATCTCTCTTTTCCACCCTCTTCGGTGAGCGACACTGCTCTCCTACTCCCAGGCACCCAATGGTGGTATGCTGCTATCATCATCATCGCAGAAGTGTACACATGAAGGGCCATGGACACTAATGCCATGCCCATGCTGCTGACAGCGGTCTGGCGGAGGACTAGACCGAGACATGAGGATTCTGTCCTGGCATCCGGGCAGCACATATCCACAGCAAGCGCTTACAAAACTGAAAAACAGATGTGAATTAATTCCATCTAAGCACGAAGCAAGCAAGAATTCAGGGAGCAAATATTTCTTGACCAGATCTGTCTAGAATCTTGAGCAGTGAGCTCTACTCCTCCTAAAATCTTCCTTCACTTCATCCCCATATCCAACTCTACCATCAATCCTTTTGCAAAATCAGTAGCCAAATCATGTTCTTATTGTATTCACTGTACCATAAGTGCCCTTCACATTTCTGAACTATTGCTTAAGCTGCCGGAGTCATCAGCTGCATCAGCGTTTTTTTGTCTGCCATGCACTCTGTGTCGCCCTGCTCGATCTCTTCCTCTGATGTGCCTCTAATCTTTTATCACATCAGAACCTGTGCCTCACTGCCTTGTGGACTGCATGTGCCGCTCAGCAAAACAGCTGCCATATGAGCACTGTGTAGGAGTAAAACCACCTTTTTGATTAGACTAGAGATCTAAAGATGTCAGTTTGAATAGTTTGAGAGCTCAAGCTGTCTGGTATTTGAGTTCAAGTGTCGAAATCAGATTGTCGTGAATCATCTATGGCTAAAAGTAGTTTTCTACTATGTTTCCTTTTCACATTTTGTAGTTTTGTTACTGCAGATTTTCCTCAGGACATCTGCACCTAGGAGTTGTTATTACGTAATCACTAGCTCATTGTATATCAATCGCCAGCTCAGTTATTAATCTAAGCATATTCTTGCTGCAGGCAACCATCTGATATTGGCAAGACCGCTGTGCAGTACAAATCAGAGAGAAGAGCAGCAATGGAAGCGGAAGGTTTCAAGATACTTGGAAACTCAGGGGACCAGTGGAGTGATTTGATAGGATCGCCAATGGCAACGAGATCCTTCAAGCTCCCAAACCCAATGTACTTCATCAGCTGATTTTATTGTTAGAGCAGTGAAGGAGCAGGTTTTCGTAGGGCGTTCATGGCATCGTTATGGTCTCGCTCTGAAACTGCTTTTGTTAGACATCACTCTGGACATAAATTTGGATTTTATCTTCAAGCATGTTGAAATTCAACTGGGGCTTGGGGCCATTGAATCTGCCCTTTGATGATTTGTAATTACACTTCTTTTCCCACACTATTGGAAGCATTTGTGGTAATGCAAATTTTAAAGGCTCTTGGTTCAAATCTGAAGCAGATGAAATTTCAGTTATGTTTTAAAATTTGTGTACATTCAGATATAATGTTTGTTCTTATGGCAATTTTTGTATCGTTTTTCCGTAGGATTTACAGTGGAACCAAATGATAGATATTGTATTGTTGTTGAGTGTTGACCCAGATTATGCCTTTAGCAGCCATATCAGTTCACCTTTAGACCAGTCAAGCGGAGACACAGGATTTATCACTGTTGACATGAGAAGTAAACAGAAAAACTGAAAACTTCAATCGCAGAAAGCTCTACTGACGAAGGAAGATAGGGAGGCCACCAATCGATGGTACTCCTGACGAAGGAAGATAGGAAGATAGGGAGGCCACCAATCGGAGGCCAGAAGTACTTAGGCACCGTTTAGTTCACCCAAAAACCAAAAATTTTTGCACAGTAAGTGTCACATCAAATCTTTCGGCACATACATGGAGTACTAAATATAGACGAAAAAAAAACTAATTACACAATTGGTCGAGAAATCGTGAGACGAATCTTTTAAACCTAAATAGTCCATAATTAGACAATTTTTGCCAAATACAAACGAAAGTGCTACAATAGCCAAAAGCCAAAAATTTTCGGAACTAAACACGCCCTTATTACATTTGCGTGAGCGTGACCTAGCATCTGTACAACTTGCCCTGGCATTCAGACGCAGCTAGTTTCCTCCCCCTCGGCTCTTTCTTTGCTATTGTCTTTGACAACCTGTTCTTCACACCCAGCGTTGCAGCGTGACGTCTGGACGCCTTCGGCCTCCTGATGTACGGGGTGGTCTTCTTTGCGAGGTCCTCCACGCAGATGACATCGGCTAGCGATGTGAAGGACTCGGACCTCCCCTGGTAGTACTTAGATAGCCCTGTTCTGAGGAAGTGTGGTTTAACTGTCAGAGATCATGTTGCAGGCATGAACAGGCACGAAGCAAGATATTCAGACTAGTTTCAGTTTGCTAGCACTTTGCAACTTGATGATGGTCAATAGAATTTGCAGTCATCTTGCTCAAACTGTTTCATTTGGACTCGTTTTTGCATAGGAATTGGTGTAGTTTCAGTTGCAACACATGGGTAGGTGTGCGTGATCGAGTTCAAACCTATATATTTACTTTGAATGACATGAGCTCTGAAGGAAATCTGAAGACTGAATATTGATCAGAAATCCGTTTCATTTTGTTAAACAGCTATTGCATTTTTTTTCAATTCACCTATTTTCAGTTCTCCATCGATCTATAGCAAAGCACTGCTTATATGATCATCTAGATCGTAGATTTGAGGCGCGCGTGTACCTGAGAGCCGGGAGATGATCCTGCATCGTCAACATCCCGTAGAGCGGCCCTCCGGCGGCCCCGTTCATCTGCGACGCTTCCGACTCTGACGACGTCGAGGAGGACAATGAAGACAAGGACGACAAGTGACGACGACCCGCCGGTCGGGACGACGACGTCGCGCCGTCTCCGTCGTCCTCTCCGTCACCCACGCTCCACGTCGTCGTCGATGAGAAGAGCGAAGACGACGACTCGCTGGCGGACGCCATCCCGATCCCCGACGACACCGACGACCCTGTACTCCCGGATACCCAACAACCTCCGGTGGCGCAGCGCCGCCGTCCCTCCCTCTGCGTGAGCGCCACGGCGGCTCGGGAAGCCTCCCCATCATTGGAATTGAAGCGGCGTGTTAGCTAGGATCGAATATATATTTGCAACGCACGGACCCGGTTGGGGTTCGTATGCGTCAATTTATCTGCGCGCAACTCGTAAGGGGCGGCGGCGGCGGGCGGCGATCATGGGCTGGATTGCATCTTGTGTTCGGGTAACCGCAAATATGGCAAGGGAGAGGGTGGAGGAGTGGATATGCATGCATCGCATGTCAGTATACGCTTCCGTGGGCGGGGCGTGGATATATACTTTCCTACCTCTTAATATATATTCAAAAAAAAACTAGGCTAATACGTTTCCTTTCCTCTCTCTCATCTCTGGATAGGGCTTAGCGTCCTGGCAACCTGATCGTCAACTCCATGGACGACGGATCGGCTGCGTCGGGCGCCTCGCTGAAATTTTGAAATTTTGATTTTGAATTGAAAAAAAAGTGGTTCCATCAGATGCCCAACACGATCATCCACCGCCTCCGTGCCCTCCGGAAATACGGATCCAACCACACGACTTTTCTTTTTCAATCTGTGTTTACACTAAAATTTGGAAGAAGAGTCGTAGGGACTCGAAAGCTTCCAAGATCATGTCATCAAGGAATCAATTGCGTCCAGATCGGAATCAGCTGATTCGAATGCAACGCTGGAATCGGCTTTCTTCAAATAGCGCCAGCAGATAACGACAAAGGCTACGATCGGCGCCGGGACAAAGCATATTGGACTCTAAAAAAGAGAAAGATTAGGGTCCAAGTTATCTTAAATTAGAAATGTTTTCGCTTAGGCCGAGATATTGTGATGAGTCGTGCTTAGATATGAGTCATGCGTAGGTCCCGGGTATAAATATCAAACCCTAGCTATTGTAAACACACACAATCAATCCAATACAAGTTACTTACTTTTTTCGGCTCCGGCCACCCCTTAGAAATAGGAGTAGAGTAGATCTCGACGAGTTCTTCACAAAATACACGTTTGCATCGATCCGGGTTAATTTTCCTTTGCTTATCCGGAATTACCGTCATGGCTTATACTTTTGTTAAATGACGGGTTGCATTGATCCGGTTCGACCTCCTTCGCGACTCTAATATAAACTAGTTATCGACTTTTGTTTAGTTTAAAATGCGGTTGCATCGATCCGATCGATCTCCACCGCTCGAACTAGATCAAGGTCAAGTTATCGGCTCTATCTAAGGGTGGCGTTCCTTCGGATAGATTCATTAAGTTACCGATATTGCTTATTTCTTCTATTATTTATTTAATTGCATCAATATCACTTTGCCCGATTGGGATTGATCTAGATCGGCCTTATATCCTTTTTAACCCATCGTTTGTTAACCTAAACTGATCTAATCCGCATCTTAAACGATGAGTTATGTTTTATCGGCCGTTTTATGTCAATCTTGATCGCGCATAGCGTGCGGTTAGGGCATGTCTGATCTTGAGTAGATCTATTGGCTAGCGAAAACCGTTCCATGGCCTGTTATCACGGCCTGTGTGATTCTGCCTCACACCCCACTGTTAGCACCGTGGAGTGGGGATCGTTATTTGGTAGATCTGTTCCTGAGAGGGCATGACCTTAACTGTGCGCTATGCCTGAATCGACTGTTTTAGCCGATATCGAGCTCTTTCACAAACAGTTCACGTCACGAAACCGTTGAAGTAAAGATATGTTGAAAGATGTGTTAGCCCCATGATCTTATTATTGTATTACGGACTGCATGATTCTGCCTCATGCCCCACTGGTATTAGTAATAAGTTAGGGTCGTCGAATCTATTGTTGTTTCTATGGCCTGCATGATTCTACCTCATGCCCCACTGGTCATAGCGATAGATGAGATCTAATATGTTTATTAGATTTATCTTTATTAAATGATTGAATGATGATGAATTGTCTCTTTTATATAAAAAGGAGTTCGGTTACTTGTGGTCATTGGCTTAGCATAAACCAATTATTGTTGACATCTTATTGTCATTGATCAATATTTGTCTAAGTAATGATATTAATCCTGAACAATAACTGATTATTCTTACACAACCCCATGAGCTTTAACCGATTTATTCTTATGAATATGCTGGAATCGACTATTTAGTTGATCTCCTTTCATATCGGCTCTCAGAGCCGCACATTCGGGACTGTCTAGCAACTCTGGCATGTTCCGCCTTAAATTACTGATTAGCTTTCTCTCCTTGTCAATTGTAGGGTCAAATTAACTGGCACGTCTCGGGAGGAATGCGCAGGATCGACTATCCCTGCATTGAAGCTAGGCGGATCTCCAGCTCCATCGAGTGGACCCTTCCGGCTTGCTCGTGTGCCCTCGGCACGGGACGAAATTTCCATGTCGACACACGTTTCTGGCACGCCCGGTGGGACCCTACAATCGTCATGGCGGTTCACAACAACAACGACATCCTTATGGTACATTATGAAGATCTACCTGATGGGGATAAAGGTGTCATCAGCAAAGCTATAGAAGAATTTCAGAACAAATATTTGTTGTCGTACACCAAGACACGTGACAACACAATTGTTTAGAAATATCCACTACCAAGAGTTCTATTACACGGGCAGACAGATACAGTTGAAGCTGAAGACAGGCGTTTCTTTACGGAAATTGTAGACAAATCTGTTCGTGATGCCATATCAAGACATAATGAAGCTTTCTTGGACACATTCCACAACGCCACGAAAGAGGCGATTCATGGGTTTCCAGTTGGTCAAGTTGGGCCGGCTTATTACAACATTATAGATCCGTCGACCCAAGGGACTAATCAAGTCGTTACCAGCCATCAAGAAGCAGCACCAGCTAGTAATGATGATGTCCAGGCAGTCCAAAGTTTATCTGAACAAGCTCAAGGTACTACTACGAATCAGATACAGTATAATCCTACACCGTCAATACAGCATGTGCAACAGCCGACGGGGCAAGGTCAGAACCAAGTGATTAATTTTGGCACATCAGGCCACATACCGTCGTCGGCTCAAAAAATAGCACCATCAATTCAAAGAATCTGTAGAGATATAGATGCTCATGTCTACAATCAGAGACTTCAAGCAGCAAACCAGCAAAGGACCCAGCAGATAGAGATTCCATAGGGGTATCATTATGGCACAGATTATAACACCCTTCACATGATTCCAAATCCAGGGTATCAAGGCCACGAGACTTCAATCCATAGATGGGTCAGCAGGTGCAGATAAATCCAAATTTACATGCTGACGAGTTGTTGCTGAGGGTGACCGAGATGATGAAGAATCTGTTCGGTCTGAAGTCAAAAGGGCTGACCTTTTCATACAAACGTCCATATCCAGAACGGTATGATTTGGTCGTTCTTCCTGCAAATTATAGGCTTCCAGAGTTTGCTAAGTTCACTGGCCAAGACAGTACGAGCACAATAGAACATTTCAGTCGGTATCTTACATAATTAGGTGAGGCATCAGTTGAGGAGGCCCATCGAGTTTGTTTCTTCTCTCTGTCCCTGTCAGGACCAGCCTTCACTTGGTTTTCATCACTGCCGATCAACTCCATTGCCAATTGGACTGACCTGGAAAAGAAATTTCATACATATTTTTATACTGAGACTGGAGAAAAGAAGATTACTGATCTGACAACCATAAGACAGAAGACTAATGAATCGGGCACTGAGTTTCTTCAGAGGTTCCAAGAAACTAGGAACTTATGCTTCTCATTAAACTTGGCCGATGATCAGCTAGCTGCTTTAGCCGTTCAGGGAATGCTGCCAATGTGGAAAGAGAAATTGCTGGGACAAGAATTTGATAACTTGGGTCAATTGGCTGAACGAGTGGCAGCGCTCAATAGCCAATTTCAAAGTATGCGTAGAGATACCCGATTCTAGAAGAGTACCACAGTGGCCGAAGCTTATAATCCATACTCAGTCGATGACAGCTATGAAGATGAAGAGGAAGAGGTTGTTGTAGCTGAATGGAATTAGGGCAAAAAGACAGTAATGGTGCCAAATCCTTTTGGAAGAGGAGTTGAGGAGAGCTATGACTTCAATGTCACAAAATCAAACAAGCTCTTTGATTTCTTGCTTGAGAAGGGACAGATCAAGTTGCCCGATAATCATATTATGTTGCCCCCTGATCGGTTGAAGAATAAGAAGTTTTGCAAGTTCCATAACGCTACTTCTCATTCCACTAATGAATGAAGAATTTTCCGACAGCATATATAAAGGGCTATTCAGCGAGGAAGGCTCAAATTTGATACTCCTCGGAAAATAAAAATTGATGATAATCCTTTCCCAGGAGATCAAAACATGGTTGATGTTAGGCTGCTTAAAGGAAAGACTAAGGTCCTAACATCAACCAAATCAAGAGAAGCTGGAACAGTCGATCCTAAGATGCAAATATCGGTCGATGAATACAGGAAATTAAAAGACATCACGATAAGCAAAAGAGCCGATATGAGCAGGAAGAAACGCGTAAAAGATGGGGTGACAAAGCCGCGAGTTACATCTTGGGTCCTATTGAATAAGTGGCAACGGTAGAAGAAAAAGGATTATCAGCATTGGTTAGAGGATCAAGAATACCAGAGTCAACTGGAAAAAGAGAGGTATGAAAGGATACAAGCCGAATCACATTGGAATTATCCTTTCTTCAGACATTGCTAGAATGAAGGTTTGAAGTTGCCTACCGACATGACCGCCCCAGTGCGGCGATCGAGATTGGGAGTTTAGGCAATCTCGTGCCAACCGCCGGTCTATCCATGCTCAAGATGCATATCACTATAATAACATGGATCGGCGCTTAAAAAATGGAAATGTTCACAATCGGCTTGGAAAAAGAGTTGTTGACCAAGATTGGGCTGATAAAGAAGACGAAGGCAGCGAGAAAAGATATGTTTAGCAGGAAGGCCAATGATGTCTAGGAGGTT